GGGGGTTTTTGACCTCCTCAATTTGAATGATATTTTTTTATTTATTTCACAATATATTTTATTTTTTAAATCTAAATTGCATTTAACCTCCTTAAAATGTTATCTCACTTTTTCCATGCTCAGTCTCAATTATCTCCTTTCCTATCCTATTTGAAGCCACAACAGGTACCTGCATTTTCCAAAATTAATTGATCAAATCTGTTGAAAAGTTTAGGCATTAATGTTTACACAAGGGGTTAAAAAACCCTTGATATTTGTAAATAAGATGAAAAGAAAATCATTTTTCTCTGGTACATACTTTAGCATAATGCATCTTGGATTTTTTTATCCAATATCTACTGTTGAAGGAGTTATAGATTAGGAAATAGAAACAAATGCGAGCATGGCATATATACACTATTACACAGCATAAGACAGCAAGAAATGAACCTTATAGACATATTATAAATGCTAATATATGTGGATGGGTAACTACTAACTTGTATGAAAAACCTACCAAATTGGCCCCAGCATGTCCTTGCATTACTCGTTTCCAATGGTCACGAGAGTCAATGCTTCCATCCTGAGGATAAAATAGAATTTCAGCACCTTGAAGCACCATTGCCCGGGATGCCTCAGGAAACCACTGATCCCAACAAATAGCTGACATGAAAATTAATTAAAATAGTGAAAAAGAAAAAAAAATTGTTAACTTCAGTTTCCTATCTGGAAGAAGGATGAAAAAATGCAGCTTCCAAAATGTGTTTGGTTTCTTTAGAAAAGCTAAAGTCCAAATTGAGAAAATGTTTTTTATAGATTTGATATTATAAGTTCTTACCAACTCCAATTTTTGCAAATTTAGTCTGGAAAACCTGTTCAGCAAAATCCTCAATGTTACAAGTTCCCCAGTTATCAAAAAATCCATTTAAAGCAGTGAATACCAATTTAGGCTATCTTAAGCACTCACCTTGAATCCAGTGTCACCTGGTGAATGATATTTTTTTATTTATTTCACAATATATTTTATTTTTTAAATCTAAATTGCATTTAACCTCCTTAAAATGTTATCTCACTTTTTCCATGCTCAGTCTCAATTATCTCCTTTCCTATCCTATTTGAAGCCACAACAGGTACCTGCATTTTCAAAAATGAATTGATCAAATCTGTTGGAAAGTTCAGGCATTAATGTGATCCCCTCTTTGTGCCTGACAGAAGTAATAACCTTCAAAGAGTTCCTGAAAATAATCACACATCATTAATATGATCCAAACACACTTTCAGGGATTTCCATTAAAATTAACAAATCCAGTAAAATTTATATTCCTGCAGTGATAGAATAAGGAATCTGTTTTTCCTTCACAAACATCAAAAGATAAAAATCCCTTCTGGACCTTTTATCCACTGCACACATATTTGACTTTGGCATAAGATTTACAAAGAAGACACACCAGGTTCACACACCACTCGTAAAATCAATCAAACAAACAATCATTTTCAACATCTTTTCAACCAATCACAAACCCTACGACAACAATATAATTGTCAAACACATTCTCCGCAACACATCTGCAATGTACCGCAATACATCCGCAATACGATAAATTGATACTATAATTTTAAAATAAATTAAATTATTCATTAAAATAATAGAATATTTTAAAAAAAAAGGAATTAAAATGTATAAATCCTTAAAAATAAAATATATATTGATAATTATAAATTTTTTATATTTAGTGAAAATAATTAATAATCTCACACCACAACAGACGCAATCCGCATCGCAATACCCGCAATACCCGCAACCACAGTAACTGCAACCGCGACCGCAACCGCAATTTAAAACCATGTTCAAGACATTAACCATTAATGTACCTCTTGAGCAATTATACAAGTCACCAGGTTGGCCATTGATGGTGTAAGCATCTGATGCATTGGGCTCGCCACCATTTGCCAGGGCTGAATTGATGATCTGCATCACATCTCCCTTATACCACTCTCCTAAAAGAACACCAAAAGCACAAGAGGTTGTGTGTGATTGAACATATATAGGAAATTTAAATGGAATTTTCATTACACAATTACCAACCAATGATAAGAATTTCTTGTCCATAAGGTTCAGGGAAAGGATATGAAGTTCCATTGGCAGGTAAAATGAGAATGGCACCATGGACAGTGGCACGAGTCCAACTGCTGTGTGCATGCCACCAAAGAGTTCCTTCTTCCAATGTAAAGGCCACCTTCTGGGTGAAACTTGTTCCAGGTGGAATTGGGCATTGTGTTATGTTCTCAGGTCCATCTGACCAAGGGTCTCTTGGTTCCCTCACACCATGCCTGTAAAAGTGTTTCAACTTTTCAAGACTTACTATTTTTGATGCATTCACACCCTTCATGAGTTATATTTCATTAATTTTCTTTATTTATAAACCAATGCAATTTTTAGTTGAGAGTTAGAATTAATCATTCGAGATATATGAGATTCTTTGGCTGAAAGTTACATTGCGTCTGATAGGTGGAAAAATTATTACATGATGCAAGACCAACCAATATTTCTTGTTACTTGTTATTAATGATTAAATAAATCGATGGTAGCTATGTGAGGTAAGATATAAGAGAGGAATATCTCGCATAATTTTTCTTTATTTGTATTAAAGATATTCTTAACGATAATAAAATGGGTCAATTCATTTCACCATGATATGATATGTTGAAAAGGTGGTTAAATTATATGAAACTTTTAATTGGTCAATTCATTTCACTATGATATGATATGTTAAAAAGGTGGTTAAATTATATGAAACTTTTAACTTGTCTAGTTTATCAACAAGTTGATGAGTCAACTCATTTAATAATTACAAAATTCTTTTCTTATTTACTTTATATATAATGTTTGTGTGTCTAAGAGTTTTACACGGCTATCATATTGTATGATAATTTATTAATTTTATAATAATTGTGTAAAAAGTTATATCAATAGTAATTTTTTATTGGTTAACTATTTTACACTGCGTTCATTAAATCCATATATACACTATAATACCAAACATAATTTCAAAAGGATCAAAATTTATAATATTATTTTATTTAAAACTTAAGTGATACCCTACTATAAAGTAAAGTAATACAATATAAGAAAAGTTATAAAAATAAAAATGGGTTGACAAGTGAATCTACTCCAAACATTTTTTGACAAATCAAGGTAGATTGGTGGGTTAAAAATCTCAACTTTATGCAAAAATAAAAGATAGGTTTCAAATCCATAAGTGAGTGAGGTTGGAATACATACCAGAGAAACAGATCATGATGTTTTACTCTAAACTCATTTAAAGTGAACTCAAGCTTTTGTGGAAATGTTTGTTTGTCCAGTGAAACAATTGAGTGAAGTCAACTGTATTTACCAAAGTGTGATTTTTTGCTTCTCTATCAAATGACATTGGAATTACTTATACCCCTAATGCATATACCTAGTGCCGTGCATTTGGTGATCCTTTAACTTGTAGGTACCGATTTATTGGCAGCCTTTTGCTGATATGTAAGATGATTTAATTAAATATGTTGCAAAGTATTGGACTATTGGTCCATTTTTTGTTTCAATGAGATAGAGCACAAGAAAAAAATAAACTCTTATTATGATTGAGCAAATCAACATGCATAATTTACTACAGAAATATATGCTAGAACAAACGATGTTCTAAAAGACATACCGGAAATCGAACACACTAATTTTGTAAGTTTTTAACCGGAATTCGAACACACTAATTTAAGTTGGCAACCTTGTTTTCTCGTTACTACATAAAGATGCCAACAATAACTATTCTTAGCAGAATTAGCATAGCGAAATTTGGCAGCGGCACACAACTTTTATATATTATCAGAGCATTCTCCGCCATCATTTTGATGCAGCACAGCGATGAGCCAGTTCAGTTACAAATTCTGTTGTACTTTTATCAGAATTTCCTCCCTCGTCAACATAATTCTTGGCCAAATTCTTCCATTTGATGGAGTTTTTCTTTATTTCATTTCCCTTTTCAGTCTCCAATATTTCCTTTATGCAATGTGTGATTGTTTCTCTTCTAACTATCTCTTTCTCATCAGCAACAGCTTTGACTCCAATTTTCCACACATCCCTTACAAGCTTTGCATTTGTGATCTGGTCTGTCCACAGTGGCATTGCAATTAGTGGAACTCCTAAGCTCAAAGCTTCCAATGTAGAGTTCCAACCACAGTGTGTGAGAAAACACCCCAAAGCCTCATGTATCAAGACTTGTAGTTGAGGACACCATGCGACTATTAAACCCTTCTCTGATGTGCCAACAAAGTCCTTTGGAAGCTTACCCTGCTCAGAATCTCTAATCACCCATATGAAATAATTTCCACCATCTCTCAAACCCCAAGCTAGTTCCTCAGTTTGCTCCTCACTAAGCTCTGCCATGCTCCCAAAAGAGACATACACAACTGACCCTTTTGGTTTATCATCAAGCCACTTGATGCATGCTTCTGAGTTTGGGTTATACATGTTAACACCATAGTCCTTGTCATCTTGCAGTCTTTTGTCCAAATACATAGATGGCAAGCATGGTCCTATTGTCTTTAATGGCCAAATCTTCACCAGCCAATCCACAGCCTAAAATGAATTTCATTTCAAATTTGAATCATCAATATTACCAACAAAATCACTATTACTGTCTAATACTAACTCACTCCAATTAATAAGAACCAGAACAAAACTTAGATGCAATTTTGTAAGTATTTTTGGTGTTTAAGGCTACTGTAAAATTTCAATTTTGATCGGATAATAACATCAAAAGCACATGCAGAACTACATATCAGTTTTGTCTTAAGAACAAGTCAAATTAATGAACAGAATTTTCAGCTAGTCAAAGTCACTAACCTTCACTATTGTCTAATATTATAATTTATTCCAATTAATAAGAATAGGGATAAAACTTAGATTCAGTTCTATGAGTATTTTTGGTGTTTAGGGTTTATGTAAAACTTCAATTTTGATTGGATAATAACATCAAAAGCACACGCGGAACTACATCTAAGTTTTGTCCTAAGAACAAGTCAAATTAATGAACATAATTTTCAGCTAGTCAGAGTCACTAACCTTCACTTCTGTCAATATTCTAATTTATTCAAGTGTATAAAATCTAGATCCATTCAGCAAACATAAGAAGACATGTAATAGAAGGAAGATACAACACGGATTCACTCAAAAAGAGTTAGAACACAAAACCTCATGAGCACTAGGCTCTGATACCAAAAATGATGAAAATACTTGGATGAGAATGATGTTCTTCCAAGCTCTCCATGCTTAGGACCTTATCCAATATCTACTGTTGAAGGAGTTATAGATTAGGAAATAGAAACAAATGCGAGCATGGCATATATACACTATTACACAGCATAAGACAGCAAGAAATGAACCTTATAGACATATTATAAATGCTAATATATGTGGATGGGTAACTACTAACTTGTATGAAAAACCTACCAAATTGGCCCCAGCATGTCCTTGCATTACTCGTTTCCAATGGTCACGAGAGTCAATGCTTCCATCCTGAGGATAAAATAGAATTTCAGCACCTTGAAGCACCATTGCCCGGGATGCCTCAGGAAACCACTGATCCCAACAAATAGCTGACATGAAAATTAATTAAAATAGTGAAAAAGAAAAAAAAATTGTTAACTTCAGTTTCCTATCTGGAAGAAGGATGAAAAAATGCAGCTTCCAAAATGTGTTTGGTTTCTTTAGAAAAGCTAAAGTCCAAATTGAGAAAATGTTTTTTATAGATTTGATATTATAAGTTCTTACCAACTCCAATTTTTGCAAATTTAGTCTGGAAAACCTGTTCAGCAAAATCCTCAATGTTACAAGTTCCCCAGTTATCAAAAAATCCATTTAAAGCAGTGAATACCAATTTAGGCTATCTTAAGCACTCACCTTGAATCCAGTGTCACCTGGATTAAAATAGAACTTTTCCTCGTAACCTGTAGGAGAGATTGTTTAATGAGATTGGATGTACACATACTAAATGACACACAAAACCTGAATATTGCATACCTGGTCCATCCTGAATATGGGACTTTCTATAAATCCCAAGATCAGTTCCATCAACATCAATTATGGCTATTGAATTATAATGTGCATTGTTGGCCTCCTCAAAGAAGCTAACTGGTATGACTAAACCCAACTCTTTTGCAAGTTTCTGCATCCTACATTATGAACATTGAAACAAGAATATGATTCACTGCAGGATGATGCACATAAAAGACAAAGCCAATATTTATTCTTCTCTGTTCTGGCCTCTTACATCACCATAATATGGTTCCAGTCCATTGAGTGGTATGCAAGCAGTGACTATAAAGCAGATTACATAAGCTACTTTTTCAATTATTTTACCTGAGGATGGTGGGATGGTCCTTATATGGCTTAGCTCTTTGAATGAAATCCCCTTTTTGTGCCTGACAGAAGTAATAACCTTCAAAGAGTTCCTGAAAATAATCACACATCATTAATATGATCCAAACACACTTTCAGGGATTTCCATTAAAATTAACAAATCCAGTAAAATTTATATTCCTACAGTGATAGAATAAGGAATATGTTTTTCCTTCACAAACATCAAAAGATAAAAATCCCTTCTGGACCTTTTATCCACTGCACACATATTTGACTTTGGCATAAGCTTTTCAAAGAAGACACACCAGGTTCACACACCACTCGTAAAATCAATCAAACAAACAATCATTTTCAACATCTTTTCAACCAATCACAAACCCTACGACAACAATATAATTGTCAAACACTTTTTCTTTAATAGATGAAATTGCAGAAAAGGAAGAGGAAACATACTTGGAATACTACAAGCTAGGGCGAGAGAGAGGGTTGAGCAGAGCGAAAACGTGGGAGATTGGCCCTAATGTCGTCTTCTAGGGAGGAGAATGTGGGAGGAGCGACGCACGGATGAGCCGCACGCGCAGATGAACGGAGCAGTGCGCGGATGAACGAAGCAGCGCGCGGTTGACCGGAGCTGAGTAGAGCAGATGAGCAAGGCAATGCCCGCGGTTAAGTGGTGCACGAAGTGGATGAAGGAGCGGAGTCAGTAAAAGGGTGAAAATAAATTGTGGGGGAAAAGTAAAAGAGGGAAAATGGTGAAAAATTTTCAGGGAAAAATGCCTCTGAATTTAGGAGGGCATAAACCTCCTCAAAAAATATTAAAAACCGCCACTATTTTTATAATTTTGAGCGTTCCACCAAAACGCCGCAAGTCATGTTATTTTGAGGGGGTTTTTAAAACCTCCGTTAAATAACCCCCACTAAATAGCATTTTTTTTGTAGTGAAAGTCAGATCTTCCTCACCTAAAACATCCACAAATTATATGGTGAGAAAAGAAAACATCTATATGTAAAGCACATGAGGAAAACACAACATAATCTCATCATTATTCATTACTTAATGAAATATTCACAAGCATTTATATATATCATAATTTATCAATCATTCATCATCTCTACATCTCAATTCACAATTACATCAATCCATCACAATCCACACAAATCTTACTATGTCAAGGTCACGCTACCCTTTTAGTAGCCTAGGGCGGTGCTCACCCCTGACATAACATTGTGCCAAGGTCACGCCACCCTTTTAACAGTGTAGGGTCTTGCTCACCCCTGGTCATCAGTATGAGGATCCACAACCATATCTCATTTCATAACTCAAATTCATATCACATACACAATTCCATATCACATACACAACAGATAAGTCCAAAAAAATAAGGATTTACACACCCCTCAAGTAATTCACATCTAGATCATCAATTCTTAACAAGTAATATAACAATAACATTCATAAATGAATATAATAATCAATGGAATTACCAATTTAATATAATCTTAACATAAACAATAAAACCCCCAATTATTTCAACCTAACTCACAGACACTTTTCTACAATTTCGTTCTCTCTCATAGATCATCATTCTTACAAATTAAATATATATTTCTAATCCTCAACACACAGAATCTAATTGGATCATCAATTCCTCAAACAGAAATAATCCAATATTTCCAAAACCTAGCTTACAGGCACTTTTCTATAATTTCGTTCTCTCTCTCAAATCATCATTCTTACAATTTAAATATATATTTCTAATCCTCAATACATGTAAAATCTAATGGGATCAACAATTCCTCAAACAGAAATAATTATAAAATTACTCATAATCTTAATGGACTCTTCCTTTACCCAATTCCCTCATGTAACTCTACATACAAATAATCCCTTTTTCCCCTGTACCTGGAATAACAGTAGCTGAAACTAAAACAGAGATCTCCTTGATCTCCTCCTCTGAGTGCCTCTCGGTCTTCAGAGAGTGTAGAAGGAAAATGAGAGAGCAAAGAAGAAAAGAAGAGAGAAGTGAAAGTGTGCTTTCGGGAGTGGCAGAGTGCTCTATTTATAGGATCAAATGTCTTCGGAATGGCCCGTTCCAAATTCGGAACGGGCTGTTCTGGACCCTTAAATCACGAGTAAAAATGACATCCAGAACGGCCCGTTTTGGGGTGTATTTAATACTCACAACGGTCATATTTTGGAACGGCCCGTTCTCAACTCTGGAACGGCCCGTTCTCAATTAGGTTAAAAGGCCATTTCTAAAAACCGGAACGATCCGTTCCCAACTAAAAATCATAGGCAAATTTAATGGTTTAGAACGGCCCGTTCCGGGCTACTAAACCACCTTAATTGGGCTCTTGGCCCAGTGAAAATTGGATTGTTACAAATAAGATGTTATAAAAAGAAATTAGAAATTAGAAATACTCATTACAAAAGCAACAAAATTAAGGTAGGAGATAAGTATCTATGTAATTAAAAGAAATTAGAAATGTGTTTGAGAAAGTGGTAAAAATTAAATTTTTTAAATAATTGATTATATGCTGGAGAGATAGATCATGGTTGTTGTGGGGCAAATATTTTTTTTTAATGTTAGTTATATATATATATAATAATAATAATAATAATA